AAAATTTTCAACAGAAGTTGAAAATCTTCATCTGGATTGGATATATTTTCATCTCTCTTCCCAGTTTTTATTGGCTGAAGTTTTTCTGGACCCACTATGTCTATAAAATCATTATAAGTTAAGTGATTTTCCTCATCCCTTCGCTCAATCTGATCATTGACCGGTTTTTTACCGAGACATTTGGAAAAACCAATTTTGTTTACATTCCAAGGATAAATACCACAAGCTTCAAACCCATTAGAAATTGAAGTTTTGTCTTGAGCGATTCCAAAGCTTCTTTCAAAATGGGAGCGAAGTATAACTTCGTCAGAGGCATACATGGATTCGTCCTTCTCCAATTCAGAACTGCTGATTTCCATGCGTATTTCAGAGATTTGAAGCAAGACACATCGGCAGGCTGTAGGATCCTTGTTGCATTCGGATACAAGGCAATGAGGACAATCTGCAGTTTGGTTCATAAAAGACTGAGTTCATATGTCATATGTGTTTTATGACAATCGACAAATAAAATAACCGGAAACTGAATGTGTTCCTTGCCTAGATGAGGGTGGAGTATATTCCCAATATATTCGTAAAATACTTCTGCCTTCATCCAGCCATTATCATTTGTCCCTATGCCCCATTTGTCAGGAACAACTGGACGATGTGAGATGGAATCCTTTTATAAGGATAGATAATCATTGGCGGTGTAACCGAACCACTAGCTGTGAAGGTAAACATAACTGTAAGATTAGCTTTTGCTGCTCCGTGGTCCACCTGATACACAGTTTTCGAACCGCGCGGAGCAATTACCTCATCTTTATCTGGACACAGTATAGAAAACAAGTCTCATCGCTATTATATATTATTGTGGGGTCTTTAAAATAATTCTCGATGGCAGTGAACCAGTTTTTTTGATATTAAGTTCGGAAACATTGCTGCCAGCACTAGTGACTGCTTTTGGTATGCGAGTAGTTAATCTTGGGTGCCTTCTCAGAAAGGCCCTATGCCAATGTCTTCCCGGTATGTTTTTTTTGAATGGGTTGGGCCTAGGATTCAGATCAAGAAACTTCTTTACAGATGATTCGATATCGTTTTTTCTTCTAGGAAATACTTTTCTATGACTGTCAATAATCCATTCTTCAATTATGCTTTCTTCTTGTTCTGTTAGAAATGTCGCTGGACCATGGCCAATTTTTTGAATTTTTCACCTAATCGGTATTGAAGAGTTTGCCTGAGAATACCATATTTTGCAGAAGCTTGCTTCTGTCGTAATCCATTTCGAATATCAGTCAAAGCCTTCTGCAATGATTCCTCACCATATCTCTTAACATATTTGTTTTTATTCGCAACTTAAGGCATTTCATCTGTAAAAAAATCTGGCGGATAAATTTTTCATTTTTCAATGAAAACCGCTAATTTTTATCAAAAAAAATACCGAACTGAATATTGGATTCAATCAAAATATATCACATTGCTTATTATCGATATCCTGTCTACAAATTCAGCATTTTTCATGTTTTAACGTTGTAAATTACTGTTAACCATAATTTGACAATAACTGAAATCGTCCCATTCACTCTTGTAATAGTCATTGGCACAGATGCCAATTACTGGAAACATTAACTTTTCCAGATGCAGTAGTCGGCACCCTTCAAAAGTAACCATTCGTACAAAAATAATTTGTTTTTTTACCAAGGCCATTATGATCAATTCATCACATTATAACAGCAAAAGTAGATATATTGAATCAAATACCTGAGTAAACACGTCTTGAAGTACTCTATTATCTAGTTGAATCAACTATTTTTTGGCATCTGCAGAACTCAAGGAACTTTACAAGTTGACTGAAGGCGCCATTTGACACGAAATCCATCTTGGTTTTGATCAGGTTGAAAATCTCTTCCCGTACCCTTTCAACTGTCTTCCACCATGGGGGCGAGTGGTTCAAATCTCAGAGTGTTGTTTTGGTAACGACATAGAGGTCAATGACATCTATGCCGCTCTGGCCTTGTGTACCCCTTCCTGACTGGGGTATTGATGAACAAACTGTTCATTTTAATAGACGTCGTGGGGCCTTCACTCAACTGAGCGACGGGGCCTTCTGAATCGAGTGGGGTCGTCTATAGTGTAATCTACAGCTTCCCTAACTAGTGGGTTATCATGAGTTTCCGCTGACTCGAAAACTCTCTGATTCCTCAACTGAATGGACTGCTGTATGGTTAACAGCTTCAAATCTCTGCGGATGGCTTCATTCCGCACGAACCATGGAGCATTCACCAGTATCCTAATGATTTTGTTTTGCAATCTCTCCAGAGTGGAGAGATTTGTCGGGGCGGTTTGTCCCCAAGCGCCTGAAGCATACATAATGACAGGCTTGAACATCGTGTTGTATAATAAACGTTCGTCCCCAGTCGTTTCGAGTCGGAGTCGGAACTGTGACTGAAAATCACGTCAACTTTTAGTTCGTCGGAACTGGTCACTCCCGTGACAAGTTAGTCACTGTGACAAAATCACAGGTCGGCCAATCACAACACATCTCTACAATGTGGAAATAGCGCCATCTTTATGATTTAATTCAAATATAGTCTGTATCATGAAGAAAACTTTATAAAATGCAGTCAAATATCGGTAGGTATGCCAATAACAGGATCAGTGCAAACTATTGGGGTCTTTACCCTATTTTTAGTATTTTCATATGAAATATTTCACCTATACCTTATTCTAACGTTTCCTACAGATCAACCAATTTAACGTTTTTAAATTGTGCAAGGGGCCAATTTTCTATAGCTTTTGTATTCTATCACGGCTTTTACACAAAATGCGCGATTTACGGTACTCTCTTGGTTTTCCTAAAATGAGTTTCAACGCACGTACTTCATCCCAAGATATAACATATATTTTTTCAAAGGGAAACCCAATTTACAATTTCAAACATACCTACATTTTTATATTTAATAAATATCTAAACAAATTCATAGGGTATTGCTGTACTATCATTTAATTTAGACCATTGTAATTCAAACAATTGCTTTTTAAAAGATTATATATAATACCGTTCCAAATATGCCTATGCCTCAGTGATATTTATTTGCAAGTCTTAGTATTCTGTTCATCAGAGCACTAGTGTAATATATGGCTGTGGGAAAAGGTTATATATTTCTAGTTAGTTTTATAGAAATACAACTTTCCTAAAAGTTCAGAATACTTACTGGGAAAAATATGTGAAGAATCTAGAGTTCAAGATGAGTTTTCATCTTTCAAGAGATTGAAGATTTAAATTGAAAAGGTTAAATTTTTAGGAGGTATTAGTTTTTCAAAAAACACCCTTTTTGATTAAATTCAAAGGGTTATATTTTTAGGGCAGATTAATTTTTTGGGAAAGGAAGGTTTTGGCTTTCTACTTCCCATCTTCATACAAAAAATATGGGAATCTTCCACAAAAAAAGTCAATTCCAAAATAAACTCTACAAATATGTGTAGATCATGCAAAAAAGTTACTTTCAGACACAAACTGGAAAAAATATCCCATAAGAGAGTTTATTTTAGAATGATTTGCTTTTTTCCTTTCTTTGTCAGTTTCCCACATTTTTTTACCTAAAGATGGAGAAGTAGAAAGCCAAATCCTTTTTTATACTCTCTACTTGTATGTTGTTCAACAAAAAATGTGAGAAACTTTGAAATAAGGAAGACAGAAAATAACTACAATCAAAATCTGTTTATAAAAATATATAAATCATACACCGAAGTTTTAGATGCAAACTTGAGAAAAAAAAATAGTTATGCCAATATTTCAATAAGTGCCAAATTTGAATCTTTTAAATGATCTACCTGGTAAATTTATTCTGAACAGTTTCGATTTTTTTCAATCGAATAGAAATACTATGACCATCAAACTTTGGAAATGTATTCGAGAAGAGAGTTGTTTTTGATACACCAACAATAAAACAAGATCGATTGTTGATTAGAGAACTTGAGCATCTTCAAGATTTGTCATCTAAAATCCATTCAGCTTAATATTAAATGAAACATTAAACATTCTGCTGAAGACGAACATTTTGATAGTATGTCTATCATTTATTTGTGAAATCGACTGGTTTCCACATCCTGTCGTGAAAGATTCATGTATATCTGATAGTTTAATTACTTCTTTGATATATCAAGTTTTTACGAATATTCCATCCATAACATGAGCCTCTAAGCGTGTAGTTTTCATAATAAAGTCTTTAGTGTTTTTGGGCGTTATTAGTCCAAAAACAATAATGGAATTATGGTTCTTATAATGCAAATATTGCTTACGCCTTGGATGAGTTTTTTCAATATTCCTACAAGTTTATATAAGTCATACAACATATTAACTAATTTTTTCAACAACTACACTTTCAGTTGATTGGATGCGAAAGGAAATCACTCGTATTACTCTTAATCAACTTTTTTCGTTTTTAAATTTTACTTTTGGTGAAATAATTATCTTTATTGTGAAAGTAAAAATGCTATTCGGATTTGGATATGTCTAAGTTTACTTTTTCAATATATTTTATAGCAACACACACAATAATGAAAATTGCTAACTGTTAAATATTATTTTATTCAAATTTTTTTTGTTCATTACACATGGAAAGTGAATTTTGAACTGTACTGTCTTGAATCTAAAACTATGAAAAATAAAAACAAACTTAAAAAAAGGTAAAAATTGTTAGTCTACCAACAAAATTCAAATTAAGGTAAGTACTACCTGAATCTAACAAAAACATTAACAGATTATCTACCATAATAGAGTTGTAAAGTATCTCAGATCTATGTTAAAAACAAATAAAACTTACATATTTCTCACAACAAACTCAAAAAAAGTAAAAATGGTTAATCCAACCAACAAAATTAAAATTCAAGTAAGTACTACGTAAATCTAACAAAAACAGTAACATATTATATACCATAAAAGAGTTGTAAAGTATTTCAGATCTATGTTAAAATAAAAAAAACTTATATCTGTCACAACAAACTTAAATAAAGTAAAAATGGTGTCTATCAACAAAATTGAAATTAAGGTAAGTACTACTTAAATCTAATAAAAACAGTAACATATTACTTAACACAACAGAGTTATGAAGTATATCGGATCTATGTTAAAAATAAAAATATTTTCTAAAACAAACTTCAAAAAGTAAAAAATGTTTAGTTTATCAACAAAATTGAAATTAAGGTAAGAACTACATATATCTAACAGAAACAGTAACATATTATCTACCATAATAGAGTTGTGACGCATTTCAGATCTATGTTGAAAATAGAAATAAAACTTTTGTTTCTCAAAACAAACTTAAAAAAAATAAAAACGGTTAGTCTACCAACAAAGTTACAAATAAGGTAAGTACTACCTAAATCTAACAAAATCAATAACATATTATCTACCACAATAAAGTTGTGAAGTATTTCAGATCAAAATTAAAAATTGAAATAAAACTTACATATTTTTCATAACAAACTTAAAAAAAGTAAAAATGGTTAGTCTAACAAAATCGGTAACAGATTATCTACCATAATAAAGTTGTAAAGTGAAATGAATCTAGTAATAATTTTCTGTAACTATATTTCTTTCACAGGCCCCAAGTAAACCCTAAAACAAATTTCCATTAGTATCAAATATAGATAAATCTAACTTCATATATGTATTATATGGAGTTAGCAAAACACGTTAATGGCTCATTGACATTAGTATCGTATTATTGGGAAGTATCGCTACAGTACTAAATATTTTTCAAATTCAGAAAGTATAGAAAAAAATCAAAAACTATTTTTTTGTACATAACCTGCAAAAATAAAAACAAAAGTTTCCAAATCATGTTCTGACAAATAGCACAGGAAAACTGATAAACACAACATTTTACCTGCTTTTGAGAGTTCTAGTGAAATTCCCTTATAGTTATCAGTATCTTCGGGCCATTACAGGTTACTAATATTTGAATTATTTCCTCAGCCCTATACAGTGAAAGTAGAAATTATTTATTTCAAAATGTGAGAAATCATAACTAATGCATTATAGTGAGGACATTTCAGATTTTGCAAAAACAAAAATATTCAATTTTTTCAAAAGCAGAAAACTTTCACTAGCATAATAGGTAACACACCAGTATATTATGTTATTTTCTGAAAAAAGTTCCTAAAATTTGTAGTGTTCCTATTTCTGATTTACTCGAAAAGTAAAAATTATTTTTACTTTTCGAGATGGACTGATGAATATAAATCAACTACAAATTATGGATAGGTACATAAATGTCAACACTCTTAACAATATATAAGTAGATTTTATTCTTGAAAATCCGAAATGTGGAATATACTTCCACCATACCTGCTGATCCTAAGGTTATCAATATTACTGTGCATTGTAGGAACAATTGTCTTCATGTCTTGAAAGCATGTGTAACTTTCCTACAAAGACACATCCCTTATTATCATTTTTGCATGGAATATTTACATTCTCTGCCATAGATTCAAGGGCATAATTTCTGGCACAACCAATAGGTGCTTGGCATGATGGGCAAAGGGTCACTTTGGATTTGCATTCGTTACAGAGAAGATGACCAATTTCACATGAATAAATTTCCTTTGTCATATATTTTGTGCATATTGGGCATTCAAGGGTTTTTTTAATGTGTTCATTATTATCAGCAGCTTCCAGTTCTTCTGGAAATAACTCCTGGTTAGTTGTGGGGGTTACTTTCAAAGTAACTAATATGTGATTTCCAACTATTGAACTAACATTTTTCCAATTGAAATTGATTATATGTTTTTTGTTTCTATTATCACTGTCATCTGTAATATTTTTGGCATATGGATGAATCCTCAAAGCACATTGTTTCTTCAAACATTTAAAACAGCTTTCTCGTTCATGATATTCATTGATGGATATATTTTCATACGAGAGAGAAATAGATGGTTTAACAAAACTGCTGAACCTCAAATGATAATGAAAATTGTTATTAATGGATTGTAATGATGTAGCACAAATTTGGTCTTCAGAGAATAAAATAAGAAACTGTAAACTATGGACAATTAGTAAACACACTTGTGTTGAAACTGTATTGATCATCTCCACAACTATTTTCTCGTAATATATATTTTTCTTATGCATCATCTGCATGTGACTTTTGAAGTGACTAATTTCGATATGTTCTTCACAATCTTCATAGTAAACAGGGCATTTGAATCTTCTGTGAGGGCATCTTTTTTCATGTGAATCCACTTCTCTCCATGGAATATTTTCTTGGCAGTTTTCATGAATACAAGAAAATTGTAAATGCTTGGCCACATTCTCAAAAATTGTGTTTCTTGTAGCTACCCTGCATTTGATGTGTTTACATCTTCCACACTGTTGTCCTGTACCACCACTACCATCATCAGAAACCGTCATTACTGGTGGAATTGACAACCAACCACCACAAAAAGTGCACTTGTGAGATGTAAGTTGTTTAAGAACTATGTCGGTTGTATTATCTTCCATTTTCTGGTAATTTGTTTCCTTTAATAGGTATCTAAAAATGGAAGCTCGCTAAGTAAATTGCTGACATATCCCTTGGTTGAGGTGATTATCAAATATCAATAATATTGAAACACAAGTTTATGGATTTTAAACATAATACCTACTTACTTATAAAAGTAACTGTACTTGGGCGTATGTGAAATACTCAAATACTGGACATTCCAGTGTTGCCGGTAGCCAACATCAATTTCCACTAGCAGTTAATTTCTACTAGCGATTAGAAACAGCAGCCTTTTCGAATGGGCAAATCTAGTTACAGAATGACAGAATGATTAACAATCATTAAATCCACATTTACATCGATGTAGACTGTTCAGGAATATATCATAATCTTAACATGTAAAATGAAGTCTTCTGAATGCTGTAATTAGATGTCAAAATCTTTCTTAAAAAAGATATCCGGTTCAATAAAGACATATTATTAGATTTTCGGTTCCCAATGGGGTTTCATAACTCCATGAAAGATGGGTTGAACCGTAAATGAAGATATAATGGTATCTTCCAGAGACACGATAGTGAAACAAGCCGTAACGACAATTCATTGAAGTTTCTTTCAATCGGTAATCGGGGGGTAATCGGGGCTTCTGTGAACTGAGTGGGGCCCATACTCCGGTCACTCATTATTCCTTTCGGATAATCCTAGGGTATCGTTTCTGATCATCCGAAAGGATGACGATACTGCATATCGAACTACTACTGTTTACTGATTTTAGGGGAGTGGAGGTGGTCACAAGGAGAAGTACAATTACGAACTTTTCATATTCCCATGACTATGTGATGATGTTAAAAACATTTTTATTTATAGTACGAGTTTATTTCCTACGGAATTAAAAACTTGGATGAAATATATTTTTTTTGGAGGTTATTGATTTTCTAGTCTCTGTTCTAGTACCATTTGAATTGATGATAAACATGCGTTTGCAATTCTCCACAAACCATTTTAACCCTGCGTTACACGCAAAGTGAGCGCGGCGATCACTTTTTTCTAAAATATGCGATAACTCAGACAATTTGGCAACAATGTGCGTATCCTAGAAACTAAGATTCCTAGAAACCCTGGTGTTGGCAACGCTAAGATTTTGTTTTGAACTTTTTGAAGGAACCACCTGTTGCTTTTAACGATACATCTGTGAGATACCTACGAGAGTTTTCCCAAGATGGCGCTACTCTGAATTGTTCGAGTCCCCGCTGAGTCAGTCAAATTAATTATTATCTGTCATTGTCAAAAAGAATTTTCAACTTTTGGTATTTTGAAATTGATATTTTTTTGTCATCCCAATCTTTACATTGTTCGCATTTTTTATTATAGTTTTCGTTCGTTAGTTCTCAGTTATTTTAGTTTGGTTACATTTTTCAGTAGTAATAAGGAATAGTTTTATATAGTGTATAAGGATACTTTTTGTAAAATGGGACAATTCTGTATTTTGTGTGGACAGTGTAAAAATTCGAGTAATCATCTGTATTCAGTGCCAAAGTTAAATGAAACATTTTATGATTACTGTCAATCCACCAAGGATAAACTATGTTTGTATCAGCCTACACCAAAAACAAACTTCATATTTTGAATAATCCTTCACCCATTCAAATACACTGTCTGCTACTAGAGTGTCATTACTTTCTTAATCATAATATCAAATTGAAAATAAACATTCACTTATGCTTTTTTCATTTTTTTTCAAATACAACTCAATACCTAGTTGCAAGAAAAGTCTACTCATAAGAGTCATAGATACACCTACAGATGAATTTTACAGTATGCAGATAGATTTATTGCATTTCTACAGAATTATTATGAGAAGTAAGTAAGTTTACACTTACATAAAATTTTACATTCATTTAAAATATCATGAAATGAATATCAGCATAAAATTTAAAACAAATAAAAAATAAAATCTATATCAACAATTATTAAATCATAGATTAAGTTTGAAAATCACTGACTGAGTAGGGCTCCATTCAAACAAATAGTTCCCCAATCCTAACAGAATGTTGTGTATTTTTGAAATCCTGTGGAAAATTATTGTAGAACTCGAGGGTGCTGTTGTACTGTGGACTTCTATAAAAAAAATTTATTGGGTGGTTAAATGACTACTCATGTATGATGAGAAACCTAATGTTCTCTTAAATATATACTTGTAGTATTTGTTAGCATATAGAATTCCAAGCAACCAAACAGTATGCTCTTTTAACTTTACTTGTTCTCAATTGGTGATTTGAATGGTTTTATTTGTGCATTGTATCTGACCAAAATCTGTAATTTATAGGATGAAAACAAGAGGAAAGAGTGGATGGATGCTGTCAGGAAATATCTGCCTGATGGTGCTTTCATTTGCTCAAAGCATTTTCCCATCCATTTCATTGGTGAGAAAAAGCTATTGAAGGGTGTCAAAACATCATGCATGCGAGTAGTCAGTTTCTACAGCACTACCTATAAATCCTATCAAAAATTTGTATATTTTTTCAAGGTGCACTTATAGAAAAGTACTTAATTGTACGAATTTCAAGAAAACATGCACCATTTCCAGAATCAGTTTTCTAATAATTTCTGTAGTTGGAAAGTATCCGTTGAATAAGGTATCAAAGGCAAATGTGATCACATACAAATCAAGAGAGAACACTTGGTGTTATCAAAATGATACATATCAAATTATTCATATATGAAATGATAAATAATCTCTTCTAGCTTTACCTATCTACAAAAAAAAAGTTCTTTTCAACCGGCTGTTCTCTAACGGTGACCCTCAGAAGTTCGCAGTTGGAAACAAACACTCTAAAAAACCAATTTTAACAAATACCATTTTAGTTTTTTGTCCATGTTTATTTACAGGGATCTCAATTTATTCATTTGTATAAACATAGGTGAAACCCAATTTTTGTTTACAATAAATTATATTACAAAGAAAGCTTGTACTGTAACCACTTATAATATTACTATAATTATTATAGACACATTTATGTGTGTATAATGAAGGACAATTAAAGTAATGAAAAACATTTACATTAGCAAAGAGTGAGATTCTTAAAAATATTTTCATCATCACAGATGAAATTGATTTTATCAAAGTAGTTATTTTCAAGTCTCAACATTTTAGATGTTGGAGATGGAGAATGATACCCATAGTTAGTTGAGTGATATGGTGTGATAAATAGCTTTATTTGTCTAATGGACCTCCGTGGAACGTTGAAAGTTATAGGGGAGAGAATTTCTGGACAATCAATGAAACCAGATATAATTTTGAATAGATAAACTAATGATTTAGTGTAACTTCGATTCTGAAATCTGCATGAAATATTTTTAAAATCGAATTGAATGTATGAACTCATCGTGCCTAATTTCGTAATAGTTAGTTTCCTGGCTTTGCCCTGTTCATTTTTGGTAAAAATATTCGACTGCAACTGAGACAGTCATATTCAGTTGTGTTGATGGAAGTAATCTTAAATCTTACAGAATAAAGTTGATACTGAAATTAGTTTCAATGAATATGTCGTGGAAAGTACTTCGTCAACGCCGCTGAAGGTGACTGTCATAGTTGCAGTCTAAACGTTGGAGTTTACCAAAGAAGACAACAGCAAAACCCGGGAACCAACCAAAATATTGAAGTCAGTCATGAAATCATACTACATGAGCTATTGAAAATTATTGATGAAGGATGCTGAAATTTTCCCAGATTCAAAGATTGATTTTCATTTTTTTATATCTGGTTTTTATTTTTCAGTTTGCAGTTGGATTATCCAGTGGAAAAAACTCACTTTGAAACATGAACAACCGAAATAATTGAACCCTATGTTTAGTTCTGTGATCAGTTTTTTCAAAGAATATTTGATAAAGCTTATACCAAATATCTGATAAGGATTGTGTCATTATTCATATAGTTTGATTAATTTAATTAAATATCATGTATTGATCTAAAGGGTAAAACATGTTTTAGACAAGTAAATTGATGGATATACGTGGTAGAAGATCGTCATGAAAAATTTAGATTTTAGACAAGTTCTATTGTGAAATTGATGTGATAGTCATTTTTATAATAAAAATACGTATTTTGATATTTTTTTTTCATTTTTCAGTGAAACTGCTCCTGAACTTCCACTAAACGTTTTTCCTGGTCCATTCTGTAGTATTCCACCCGATTCACCAGACTCCATTGGTAAATTCTAGCAGTATTCAACTAGAGAATATTCCTAACCCCATCGAAACCAATAAAAACCTTTTTTCTTTAATCAAGAATGATAAAATTTTCATTTATCTTCCTCTTTACTGGAGTTTTCATAAGTTAGAGAATAAAATTGTATTTTCTAAAGTGGCACTTGGAGAAAACAATATGCCTTACTTAGAGAGATCAGTAGTTCTTACTGCTGATACCATACAAGCTCGAGCAATGCATAGAGTTGTTGATATCATGGAATCTGTAACCACCGTAGACAATCTAGAGGATTACTTGAAAAGACTAAATGAGGAAAAAATTTGCAACACTCAGAGTACATCTTGTAAAGTTTTGATTCCCATCAATAAAAACAAATGTATTTATTGCTCTAAATTCAGCTACAATAAGAAAGTGAAAGAGGCGAAGAAAAAAAAGTGCACTATACAAAAAAAAATCAAACAACAACTGGAATCTATTGTGGTGAATATTAAAAAAGAGCTGATAGACTCGAAAATAATTGATAATTTCATCAAAAATCTGCCTGTAACACAGCAACAAATGATAAAAACTTGTTGTAAGGCGAGTCAACGTAAAAAAACAGGAAAACGGTATACTCTTGACTGGATATATTCCTGTATATTGATGAAAATTAAAAGCACAAAATTGTATAACCACATGAGGGAAAAATTGTAATCTAGTGAATTATTCAGTTTTTCCATTCCAATACCATACTAAAAACATGTATTCAAGTATATAATCTTTATACTTACCACCTGTTTTGCGGAATTCGTTCCGATAAACAACCAATGTCAACTACATAATAACATCTGCCAACATTTCTCGAGTTGAAATATCAAAAAATTACACGAAATTTCTTCAAAACTTTGCTTGGGTTGAAACTTCAACTAATAATTCACCAGAACTTGGACACTTATCTTTCAATTTAATACTGACAATTCGTCAATAACACTCAAAACACAAAAAAATTCATTAACTCACTTTTTAAGTTATCCTAAAAGCACAGTAGGTATGAAAAATGAATGTGGAATTAAATATAAATACAAATACACCCTGTGTGGTCTTATGATTACAGTTTACTGTAATGACTGCTTGCGCCATCTGAAACGGTGTAAACGGCGTTGATCTCTGCTAATCAAGTTAGCCATAAATCCCTCAGTTTACCCCAAACTTTTGTAGGTATTAGTAGATGCACCAGGGTTTTTAGACATCTTAAGTTTGACAACTATCGGACAGAAAATAGTTACTGTCTAGTCCCCTAGATGGCGCTACACGAGGAAACACGCGTTAAGCGTTAAGGAGCGGTAAAATTTGTGTTAAAAGCAAAATAACATTTTTAAATTAGCAAACCGCTTCAACGCCCCCCAATCTTCTCTCTGCCCTTTACTGCCCCTATAGGCCACCAGCGCCCACAAGGGGGCGTTATCGCCCACTTTGAGAAAGACTAATCTATAAGAATTATTGTTGAAAAGCAATAGTTCAGTAGATAATAAGTATATAACATCTTGGTTAACCAGACATTCATTTGGAGATATATAAAAGATTGAATTTCTGATTGATTCGGCCGTTACTTGATGAAGATCCATAGTAATTTCAAAAACTACATCTCCCGATTTGATCTCCACAAACTTCATTTGAATTTGTGGAACGTACAGAGATATTATGTCACATTGGTATGCGTAATTTGAAATATAATGAATGGCTGGTTTTCTATTACTTTTTTCTATCCATTTATATATGTTAATAGAATAGTAATTAATTTCGAATCAATGAATTTAATCAAGAAATATTTCACAGAGGGTTACACTCAGCCTGAAATCGTGTTTTTTGTGTTCTTTCACCATAATTAATGCATTTCTGTTAGGCAGTTACAAAGAATATTGAAAAAATTGAATCTGAAACGAAAAAATGTTGAAGAATCACCCATAGATGATGTGGTTTTTGGGGTGTTAGACGAAATTGAAGATGGTAGTGGAACCTGCCTAGGATACAAATCGTTATGGAGGAGGTTAAAACTGGTATATGGTATCCAAGTGAAAAGGAATACTGTTTTGGAAATACTGAGGATAGCTGATCCTGAAGGTGTTGAGACAAGGTCACGTTGGAGGCTAAAGTGATGTAAATAAATAGTTCCAAGACCCAGTTTTATATGGCAAGCACATAGATGGTTATGATAAATTAAAGTTATTTGGTAATGCAAACCAGGGAGCTATAGATGGATTTTTCAGAAAAATATTGTGGCTATGAGTAGCTTCAAGTAATAACAATCCTAGGATAATAGCGTCATATTACTTAGAAACAATTAGACAATTGTAAGTTGTGTCTACATTGCTGAGAACAGAAAATATCATAGATGGATCTGTGCAGAGTTATTTAAGGTATTATCACAATGATAATTCAGCAGGATTCAAGAGTCATATTGAAGGAAAGAGAATCTCCAACAAACCTGAATGTTTCTGGTCACAAATGCGACGACAGGGTATGAGTTCTTGGATAAGTTATTTCAAAGATCTCAAACACAGTATGAATTTGATGATATAGTGATCAGCTAATTGTGGAAAGTCTCAGATACTGTTTTGGTTCTATTATTTGGGGTAAACTAGACCTTTTGGCGAAAGACTGGAACACACATACTATGAGGAAACAAAAAAAACTTGCATGTGACCAGCCACAAATTATGTATGGTGTTTCCTAGTGACACGATTTATGTTTGATTTTTATGGCTTACCTTGATCAAATAATCTATACTGTACCTCCAATTTTTCTCATAAATTCAAACCTCTTTCGGATAATGAAAAAAATGCTTATATTGTCATTTGAAAAAATGAGTTTGTGGTTACCTCCAGTCAATTATAGTACTATAGTAACCTATTAATTTGAAACCTGTACTTTCCAAACTATAGAAAAATGGGGGGTGTACCCCATCTCGTTACCCGTTACTCAAATTTAATGTTACTGATCAAGGGAACCAAGTCAAATATTCTGTTTCTCTTGTTTGGGATAGTAAGAGATTTGTTTTATTCACTATTATTATCATTTGTAATAATGTTTTGAATATATTTGTGTTCAAATTACCATTTTTCCTTTGTGTTTGAGAAACTTGTGCAAGCATACCTTTTATCGTGGGTTGCAACGCAGGGAACCGGTGACCTTGCTGGGATTTGAACCCAACGTATTATGGTTGAGAAGCGAATGATCACCATTACGGCCCATGGTATATGTTTGTAAAAACTAATTTCTTCCAATTGTATGACATGTCATATTTATTCAGTCAAATATTAAATGAATTGGTTAACAACCATGTTTCGATATGAAACTGGTGGTAAAAATTGTGAACAAGATTAGAGCTCAAGCGTTACAAAGAAGATTATTCAGAACCTTGGCCGATAAAGTTGACTGTCAATACGGGGACCTACTCCTTCACTCTGAAGTCCAATGGTTAAGTAAAGGACGGGTGCTGAAACGTTTTAATGATGTCCTATCTGGCATAGTTAAATTTTTCAAACAGTGCGATGAACCGACTCCGGAACTAGAAAATTCAATCTGGCTTAGAGATTTTGGTTACAGAGAAATTAAACGAACTTAATTTGCAGCTTCAGGGGAGAGACAAAGAACTAGCGGAAATGATTTCTGATATAAAAGCATTTGTCAAAAAGCTGGAGTTTTGGGAACAAAACCTAATTAACAGCGATGCCAAGCATTTTCATATTCTTTCAGAAAAAATATCTCAAAATCCATTAGAAACCTATGACAACAAATATCATGTAGAAATAATTTCTACCCTGAAGAATAACTTCAAAAATCGTTTTAAGGATTTCAATGAAATGGATTTAGTAGCGCAGTTTGTTGTTTCACCCTTTATGGAAATTGATATCCAACAGTTTGCAACTTGTGTTATGCAGAACTCTGGTGAAGACATCGCTGCAACAGAAATGGAAGTCATTGAGTTTGAAAATGATTTAGCCTTAAAATCGTTAGTCTCAAGTACTGAATGTATCTGGCCTATTGTAAGTAAAGACAAATATTCAGTTCTATGCCGTGTTGCCTTGAAAGTGAAAGCATTATTCAGTTCAACCTATTTGTGTGAATCTTCTTTTTCCAATATGAAGTTTATTAAGAACAAATATCGCAATCGACTTACAGATGAACATTTGGATAATTGTATTCGAATGGCTGCATCAAATTATACTGCAAACATTAAAAAAATTATCGATGAGTCTGAGTGTCAGCCTTCTCATTGAACGTGCTTTTTTATTTTTCAATGTTTATGTTCATGATAGTGCGTTACTTTTCTGTTGTTATTATTAACTATTTTTAAATCATACGTGACATGCCGTTGTGGCTGGATAAAAGTTTGTGTTTATTTTTCAAACACCTTCGTTTGATAGGTAGGAATGTAGCTATGAACAAGTACGTACTAGTAATATTAGTTATTTTGTTATTAGTTTATTATTAGTACCTATGTATTATGTATTACCAGTTAAATAGTAAAATAAATACATATAATGATAAATTAACTGTGGATTATTTCATTTACGTTGCGTTACGTGGCTTCCGTGTGGGTAGCTCGCTGTTTATTCCAAAATTAACAAAGTAGCTCAACACATTGAAGAGGTTGACGACCACTGGCCTATTGTAATATAATCTGGCGGGTTGGAATGACAATAATGGCATCTCAGATCTAAAATAGATTCAACAGCTTTATTGGAGAGATTCATAACCATTCTCCCCCGAATCACAATAAAATACAGCTCATAAATTATTGTGGCTGCAATGAAAGCATATTCATAATTATAATAGTTGAAATGAAAAATGTGGATAGTTCTTGAATAAATCGGTACAGCCCAGCACATGACCAATATATTTTCTGTGAAATGAAACAAAACTCATC